GAATACACAAGCTTCCCGGAGTTTGGCAGCCACAGGGAACTGAATCCCACCAAAGAGGACCCCAGGCTCAGATGGGACCCCGGCCCCAGCAGACACCTCGACAGCAGTTTTGTTGCTTTAAGCTGATAAAAAAAAAAAAAACAAACAAACCTAAACCAAAATACAACAAACATTTCAGAAAGTGGTGAGTGTGCCGTTGAAAGATGAATTAATTGCAATGTAGACAGTGACCGGGTGGGCTTCATGAATTTGGGTGGCCAGGGAAGCCCTCTCTCGGGGTGACTTCTAGTTGGGGTCTGAGTCTGGGGAAGGAGCCAGCCAGGAGGCCCGGGGGAGTGGAGAGTACTACGAGCAAAGGCACCAACCAGGTCCAGGGCCTGGGAGTGAAGCTTCGGGGGCTCCAGGACAGAAAGGCAGCTGGTGTGGTTGGAGTGACGTGAGAGTTGGGGAGAGGAGAGAGCAAGGGGGCTGCCCGGGGGGTACTATGAGCCAGACTACACTGAGCTTCCACTACAGACGGAGTGTTTGGGTATCCCCAGGATTCTTCTGTTGAGATTCTCTCTAGGGGATGGTACTAGGAGGAGGGGCCTTTGGGAGGTGATGAGGTCCCGAGGATGGTGTCCTCAGCCTCATAAGAGGCCCCGCAGGGCTCCCTGGCCCCTTCCACCACACGAGGACACAGCACGAGGGGGCCTGTCTGTGAACCAGAAAGTGGTTCCCACCAGTCGCAGAACATTCCAGTGTACTGCTCTTAGATGCGCCAGCCTCCAGGACCGGAAGACGCAAATTTCTGTTGTTTATCAGCCATCCCATCTCTGGCCTTTAGTCATAGGAGCCCAAGCTGGCGAGGACAGCTTCTAAAAAAGGCTGAAGAATTTGGATCTTATTTTCATTTTGACTAGAAGCCTCGGGAGTCCTGGTAGCAGACGAGTGACATAGCTGACTTGCAGATTTCAAAAAAAAATGATGTTGACTCTGTGAAGGACAGCTGGCTGGGTGCCAGGCGGAGTCGGGGCGTCCAGGAGCAGCCGAGACCAAGGCTTAGGCCGAGGCGGTGGCGGAGATGACGGGGGTCCTCCAGGAGCGTGTGGCCGGGGGTGCAGCGGGGCTGGATGCTCCCACTCGCTTTGTGGATCTGCATCCGTGCGGGGGCTCTGAGGCTCCCCAGCAAGGGAATTATAAGTAACTGCAGCGGCCCCATGCTCCCCCACCGCACCATCCGTCCCCCGTGTCATGCTGTTCCCGAGCTTCTGAATACCACGGGTGATTCATCAAGACTCTTGTCTCTGGCAGTTGCTTGCACCCAACTGGTGCTGCGCCAGTCTGGGCTAGCTTGTCTCCTGGAGGCATCACCAAAGGGGAAAGGGGCTCCCACCCACCGCCCCCCAGCCTCCTGGCCCCACAAAGCTGCCCTGCTTCATTGATTGCCTCCTCGGGGTTGAGGGTTAATTAAACAGTTTGTTGCTGGTTACTTCACAAGGTACGGGGTACCCTCTATGTAACCCGGGAACTGGATAAATCTGGAACAGAGTAGTACACAGGGTCAGCAGCCTCCCTCAGGCTGGGGCAGAGAACAGGTTGGTAATAGCACCTGCTGCTTGGTTTTCATTTTGGGTTTTGTTTTTGTTTTGACTAAGGTCAAGTGCAATTCCAGCCTTGGACTCTTGACTCCAGGCTTACCTTTTCTTGTTCTTGCAGCTCCTCCTTCTTCCATCCGCTCCCCACACCCCTGCCGGGCCAGCTCCAGCCCCGTCCCCCCTGCTGCTGTTGGTACCTACCCCCTGTGCCTGGAGCTTCACCTAATCCTCTGGGCGCCACTCTGGGCTCAGACACAGGTGCCTGGCACGCCACTCTGGGTGAAAGCTAGGGCTCGGAGGCCTTTTCAGGTCCCACTTGGTCATAAAGACCTGTAGTGGGGGACCACCTTGTTCCTGAGGTGGCCGTCACTGCAGCAGACCCTCTAAGCACTTAACAGGCCAACCTGAGAAGGTTAACTTGTAGAGGACAAAGACCAGTCGGGTTCTGGGGGGATTCGGTGCTGACACAGGGCATTCTATAGGTCAAAGCATCCTTTCAGGGTTGACACCTGGGCCTCTGAGTCACTCCCTCTGCTGGGCAGGGATGGGGGTTAGGACAGCTCCTGTTCCTGGGTGGGCTCCCTCTCCAGGCCTGAACTAAGCTAAATTCATGGGGTCAGCAGATGGCAGCTGCTCCAGGCATCTGGACTCCCATGGCTGTGTCTGGCCTCGTTGGAAAGGATACTAACTTGAGGAGGACGAGAGTGTTCTCACACCCTCTGGAGCTTTAGCTTCCCAAAACAGCCACTGTCCAAGGGATCAGCCCTTAGTGGCTTTGTCTTGTCTTTGTTCCTGTTAGAGCCTGGCCTGATGGTGACATGAGGTGTGTAGCCATCCTTTCTCTCCTTAGCCCCTTCTGGGAGGGTACAGCCCTACTTGTGGACACAAGTAACCAAGCTCCAGGGGAGATGGAATGAGTTAACCCCAACCAGGACAGTGCCCCAATCACCAAGAAATAGCTCTTAGAACAGCAACTTCTCCAAAGCTCTTCTTGATGCTAACATTTTATCATCAACTATGATTTTGATGTAAAAAAAAAAATACAGTACATGTCCTAGAAAGCCGGTTTTGCTGAGCCCCTCAGTAACCAGGGCTTCGATAGGTCTGCACAGTAAAAACTGAAGTCCTGTTGTGGCATTTGGCTTTGTCCTGCTGCACAAGGCTTTGAGAAAGAGTCATAAGAGGTGGGGGAGGGGAGGGAAGGAAGAAAGCCAATCACGAGAGGTCGTGGCCAACTGGCTCATCCCTAGAAGCATAACATTTTGCCACCAGAGACAACTTTAAAGTTCAGCTATCCCACAGGCTCTCACCCCTGCCTGCATGTGAGGATCACCCCCCCAGAAGTTCTGCTGGGATTGCTCTGGGGTGAGCACCCAGCATCAGTATTTTTAAGAGCTCTTCAGGTGATTAGAGCATGCAGTGACAGAAGCGTGGATGAGGCAAAAGGTGAGCCATGCCCTCACTCAGGCACCCTGTCAGGCAGGGCCTCTGATCCCCAATCAGTCAAAGCTTTCAGACTGTCAACCCCAAAGCCCCGGGCGTACTTGGCTGTACACAGGGCCCCAGCCCCCCTCCTGCCGCCCTCATCTCTTTCCTACAGAGTTTCCACCCATGGTCTCAGGTGAGCAGAAAGTGACCCTGTCCCTACCCTGGTCACAGCTGTCGGCCCAGCCATGGTCACTCAGGTCTGGCTGGCTTATTGCCTGACCAAAGGTGTGTGATCTGCTGGAGAGGATAAATGGGCCAATCACATTCTTTGTCTATCTCTCTGGAACCTGGCATAAGCCACCCAGAAGGAAGCTGAAAGGTTCTGCAGACTTAGCACCTGGGCAGGCTGTGAGCCTTGCTTGGGGCCTGGAGAGAGGGGAGTGCCTGCAGGGAGCTGCAAACACCCTGAAAGGGCAGGAATGAAAGAGTGTCAGCTCCCAGAGCTCAAGGATTCCTACTCTGCCTGAGGCCTGTTTGCTCAGCTTTTCCCCCGATTCCTGGGAGACCTTTCCAGAGCCTTAGAAAAGCCCATTCACTGGAGCCCTTCTCTGTATCACCAAAAGCGTCTTAGAGAGAATGCTCACTACAAACAGAGCCACTCTGCTTTTATCTCTTTACATTTCAGGGTCCAGGGGAGATCTTGACTGGAAGGTGGACACAAAAGGTCTCCACTGTTGGCTAAAACACAGTGCGGAGGTCAGGGGCCGAGGCTGAGCCTTGCTTCATTGAGGACACGGGGCACAGACCAAGGACAGGGCAGGTCTTGTGGGCCTGTCTCTAAGGAAGACCAGTAGGAGGGGTGTAGGGACTGTTAGAGAGCTCCCCTAGATACCCCATGACCACAGGTGTGGGACATCTGATTCTGGGGGCACAGGGTTGGGTAAGCTTGGGGCTCCCTGGGAACCTGGTCTTATCTCTGGCACAGAATGGCTATGCTTCAGGGATATGACTGGGCCTTCTGTTGGGCCCCTGGAAGGATCCTACAATTCTCCCCCTCTCCTAACTGAGAGCTCACTAGCCCCCAGACATCCCTTCCATGCACCCAGAGGGACAGCAGCCATCATTCCCAAGGCTAGCCCACCCCTCCCATCTTAGGCACTTCCCAGAGGGGACCTGGCTGGCCAGAAGCATGCGGCGCCTCAAGTCTAAGGGACATGGTTTCCCCGTAGAGGACTTGCTTTCCCTTCTTCCCATACATACAACTAATTCCTGCTGTCTAAGCCCCGCTCCACCTCCCCCGAGCTCCACACAGGGTACCAATCCACTTCTTGCAGAGGAGACCATGAGGGGCAGACCTGATGGTGAGCTTCAGCTCTGGGCCGAGATATCAGGGGAGGGAGGTGCATGCAGAGTGTGGATCGAATTGACTTTCCATGCACTGGAACCTATTCCTGCCTAGCCATACAATTCTCCGTATCTACAATCCCTTACAGGGACACGGGAGCAGTTCAGTGGCCATGACACCAGCAGAGAGTTACAGGAGATGGATATGAGAGAAGGTCTAGCCCTGTCCTACCACCCTGGGAGTGCCTTATTTGGAAAAGGTAAGAGCATTTAGGATTCATAAATCAAGGGTAAGGATAGGCTTTTGAAAAGGAAACTGCCCAGGTAGCACCTGCTTCCCACCCCAAAGTCCAATATGTACATAAAACGCCAGAGCATTTTCTGAGTTTGTGCTTTCTAGGAGTCTGATGCCTCTCTCTGTGTCATGGCCACACAATCTTTCCCATACCAGGCAATCAGACCCCCGAGAGTGAAGGGCCAGATCTTATTAGCCTTTGCAACCCCAGAAGCTGGCGCAGTGGCAGAGAGCTTTAGAGGAACTCAAAAAAATGTTTGATGAATGAAAGAATGAGTATTCCCTAGCCATTCTCCCGGAATCCCAGAAACCAGGACCTTTGCCCTCGAATAGGCCCCCCGAGCCCACGGCCTTACCTCCCATGAGGAAGAGAAGCCCTGCCACATACTGCATAAGGCCTCGGTCCCAGCAGCAGCCCAGCACGCCGATGATCCAGCCGAAGAGGATGATGGCCACCGCCATGCCCATGAAGCCGGCTGTCATCCTGCGCAGGTCTGTGGGGGAAGCATGGGGCGACAGTTAGCATCAGAACCTAGAACTCACGGTCAAGGTACGTCCTGGCCCTGGGCAGAGGGGAGAGGATGGGACACTGCAGGAGCGGGAAGGCAAACCTCCCCTTTCCAGACAGATTTGCACAACTGAGCTGCCTCCGTACAGGAGAGCCCCCGATGGTAGCTATCCTCAGGTGCAAAAAGCAGCCAGCACGGCTTGGTTTGTAAGCATAAGGAGAGATCATCACCGTAATTGGTGTCATTTCTTACGCACGTCCTTTGTGCCAGGTGCAGCCCTGTCCTTCCCAAGCATCTGGCTCAGCTGTCCGAGACGGGTCCCATCTTTATCCCGACTTGAAAAATGGAGTGAACTGCTGAAAGCCGTACAGCGAACAAGCAGCAGAACAGGGCATCAAGCCCAGATCTGCACGGCTCCTGGGCGCCAACCACAGCATCGTTCGCCTCTCAGGGAGAAGTGGGCCTTTAGAGGAGGGCGGGCTCTTGGCCTCCTGGCTGCACCTGCCAAGAGCTCCCTCCCTCCCCTCCAGGGTTGACTGGGCTCCCCAGGAGGTCCAGTGTGAGGAGGAGGCTGCTGCGGTGTCTCCTTCCTCCCCCTCCAAGCCAGCTCCCAGGGGCTCAGCTTCCCCTGCATGTGGGGTTGCAGGGCGGGGAACCACACTTCCTGCCCTCACACTGCAACCCTGCGCAGGCCTCTTCAGCCCCTAAGACCCAAATCAGCCCAGCCTTCTGGGTCTGGCCTTTCTCCGCTCCTGGGTTCGCTGACCCTGCCATACAAAGCTGATGTGGGTCCAGGCATGAGAAGGGCTGAAAAAGGCAGTATTTTTAGTGGAAGGGAGAAAGCAGAGCTGCTCTCACATCTCAGCCACCCTCACGCAACATCCTGCCCTAGGCTCTCTCCAGCGCCCTCTAGTGTGTGCCCCACCAGCCTCATGCTCCCTCCCTGGCGTCCAGCCTTCTCACCTCCTGCTGGGCAACACCCTGGTCCTTGCCCCTGATTCCCTCCACCCTGCCCCAGCACCCACCAGCCTGCAGTTCCCTGTCCACCTCTGTGGTCTGTGCGGAGCCCATCTGCCAGCTCCAGTCCCAGTCCCGCCAATGGGACTCCAAACAGGAGCAAGTCACTTGCCCAGCCTCTGCACCCAGGGGGTTGCCAGGGCAGCCTGGAGGACCCCATGGGCACTCCCTGCTCTCAAAGGGAGAGACAGACAGTGAGGATACCCGACAGCAAACTCTATCCACATTCCATGCAAGCAAGGGAGAAATCTCCACTCATCCCCCACTAATACGCGGCAGGTTTCTGCCCACCACGAGGGTGTCCCATCCCCTCTGTTCCTCTCCCACCCCAGTCACCACCGTTGGGAGCGACAGCGGATCCTGGCACGGTTAGGCTAGAGAACTCTCAGCCCTCTCCCCTCGGAAGAGGGACTCGGTCCACCCTCCTTGGCCTGACACGGGGGATGAGATGCTGGCAGCCCTCCACCCAGGGGGAGCTGGCTGGGGAGCCCTCCACCCAGGGGGAGACAGAGGCAGAGGACAGCGGCCGGGACAGGAGGCAGGACAGGCCCCTGTGGTGGAGGCCGAAAGCCATCCAGAGAGAGGTTCCTGCTCGATCTGTTCTCCTCTGTCCTCCCCTACCCGATCTGGAAGGCCTGCCCCAGCCAGGTAGGAGTGATACCCATTAGAGTCACTTATGGGAGCTGCCAGGGAGCTAATTATCGTGCCACACTCCACAGATGGCGCCTATCACCAATGTGTCCCAGGAAGCTTCCCGGAGGGGCGCCGCTCGCTCCATCACAGCACAGTGCTCACATGTGCACGCGCCCCCGAGCCGGCTCCCTGCGTCCGTGCTCGCGCACCCACAGCCAGCTTGAAACAAAGAGGCACAGCCTCGCCAGGTGTAGAGGCACTTCTCATCCTGGGATCTAACTGCCTGGTCGTCCTGGCCCTCATCTCCCCACACTGCTTTTTCTGCTGCCACCTGTCTTAGCCCTTCTTCCTTTGCCACCACCCACAGTCCTTGGAGTGAGCCAGGCCCCAGCACCCCTGGTTGGTGAAGAGCTCGCCCTTTTGATGTGTGAGTCCATTTGACCCCTGGAAGTGTAGTCAAGGGCAAGGAGGCAGCAGGGAAGGAGAGGTCAGGGTATTTTTGGAGTAACGGAGGTTTATATCCCCTTAAACAGATCAGGAAATTTTGCTCTATGCCCCTGTGAGACCGTTGGCTCCCTTTACAGGGCAGGAGGGGCTTCTAAAATCTCGGCCTCTTTGGCAGCCGGAGAGAGGGACAATGCGGTTAAGGTCACAGAGCCCCTCCCCTGCACTTGGCCTTGCTCATGGGTGGGCCTTCCTGGTCCTCAGGCTCTGCAGCTCCACAGGAGCAAAGGTATTGCCTGGGGGATTAAGTGGTCCACCTGTCCTATAAGGTGTGTCCCAGTGGGCCAGGAATGGACAAATAGGAGAAGGAAATGCAATTGGAGGAAGCAGGGACACGAAGAAGATAACTTCTCTTGCAGAAGTTCTGAGACAGGGGACAGTCACCTGTGCCCCAGGTCTGAGAGGGGCTGTGGCCCTCGAGCACAGATTAGGGGCACTTTGTCAGCAAAAGCTGAGTTGTTGATCTGGAAAGCAGGATGAAGACCAGAGGTCAGGCATGAGTATTTTCACTGACTGAGGGTATTTTTACCACCACCCCATGAGTCCAATTTGCAAGATCCAGAGAAGTCAAATAATTTATTGACAAATCAGTGACATAAAAGAAGAGTGAGTTGGGTGGGAAAATAAAATTAATAATGCAGCTAAAGACCTACTGGGTTGTCATGGTGAATGAACAGATGTATTGGGCATTTCTTCCTTCCAAATAAACTGAGAACTATAATTCCAGTTCCGTGATTTTTTTTTTTTTTCAAATATAGGCATCCACGAGGATGGGCAAATAGGACAAGAGACAACCCAGGACTGGGAGCAGCAAAGCTGGTGGATGGTGCACTTGGCTAGAGCCAAACTAGAGGCAGCAGTGGCAAAGGTGCAAACCAACCCACCACATCCCCCAGAGGCTCATGAACAGGCACCCACAGGTTCCTCTGAATCAAGCAGTTGTTACCCAGAGGGCAGGAGCATAAATAACCAAGGTTTGGTAGAGTTGTCTGAGATGGAACTAGATCCCTAGATGCCTTCACCCAACTCCACAATGCTTGGGGACTCCCCTCACCCTGGGGGGTACACTGGGGATATCTAGCACTGGCGGTTGACAAGCTAATTCCACAGAGACAATTAAGTGACCAATCACCTACAGAATGTTGGCTGCTTGCCCTTGGAACCCTAGCCTCCTTCTACTCGGCCTCCAGACACTATCTGGCCCCTGCCGTCCAGCCTGGGGACCAGGCAAGGCCTTTCCAGTGACGACCAGTACAAGAGGCAAGACCTAGACACCCAGCACTGGGGGAGTCCCACAAGCAGCCCCTCTGACCGCTCTACAATGGACCTTCCCATTGACAAGCCCTCCACCCACTCAGTGCTTCCAGGCAGCGCTTTGGCGCTGCCCCCTGACAACCCAGTACTGGCACGTATCTATAACCTGGGAGCAAAGGAACCTGAAGAAACAAGCCACAGAGAGAGGAGGCAATAATTCAAAATTATTATTAATATTCCCAGAGAGGGCACAAAACATATTTTGCCTCCATGAAATAAGAACAGGAGTCTACTGAAAACATCTGGAGAATAAAACCAACTCCTTAAAATAGCAGAATCAAAGTCACTGAAATTTATAGCATCAAATCGATTCTAATTCATGTATTAACAGTGCTATCATGTTCCTGAAGAGAGCTGTAAGGGAGCTTACAAATCACACACGGTGTAACAGGATAAAAATAATTAATGGGAAAGGAAGGGAACAGAAAATAAAGGGAAGAAGCAGCTGGATCTCACATGCAGGCAGGAGGTCCTTAGGTAGGAAATGACACTCTTGTACCTGAATTGAAAGGCAATACACATGATTTCCATTGTCATGGAATCTTTGTTTCCCGGTTGCACGTGAGTGAATCTGAAGGGCCACTCTGCCCGTAGAATGAGCCGGGTGCACACAGCCCCATTTCCTGCCCATCTGCAGCACCCTGTGTGCCTATTTTATCTCCTGAAGAGTAAGAGGGTTCCTGTTTCACTGTGACTGCTCACAATGCACACCAGTGCTCTGCACCCAGGAACTTACACAGCTTGTCTCTCGGTCCCCATTTCTTCCTGCCTTTTTAGAAAAGAAAGAAAAGGGGACCAGCCTTACTCAAGTATTTGAAGCCCTGTTTGAATATTATGTAGGATTGGCCTATGAATAATCCCCTTAGAAAGAACCCGGGATGATGAGCTGAACTCTGCAGGCCAAAGCTGAGATAGAGAAAAATCTCATGAATCCTGTTGGGTGGGAGCCCATCGTCTGTATTCCATGACCCAGATGCTTAACATTCTAAGTTTTGAGACGAGAAAGGAGCATTCTCAACTTTTTAGAAAAAGAATGTAGTTCAGCACAGTGGAAAGGGTGTGCAAAAGGGGGTAATGAGGGAGGGTGGAGGAGGAAAGGCAAGGGGAACCATTGAATAGAACCAGAAAAGGCAGTTCTTCCTCACAGAAAACTTTTGATTTTGAAGTTTACACTCCTATTAACATTTAAATTGAAAGGTATTGCTTTGCAACTCTACACGGGAAACCAGGATATCTGCATTTAAATAAATACCACTTAGAGAAGGAAAATGTATATGGGCTCTGAATATCTTTCTATTTGCTCTTTAAAGACCTTGCACAGAAAAATGATGATTGTAATTTTTTTTTCTCATCAAAAAAAAAAAAAAGTCCCCCAAATCACAAAAAATGGTGAAGGTAAGTATGTGTTAGACCCTTCTGGGGTAGTACCCAGTGGAGACGGGGAAAGGACACTTTATTAATGGCCCAAGGGCCAACGTGGGGAGTGACCAGCAAGGCCACATGGGGGCACGTCTGGG